GATTCGTATCAATCAAATGTGCGAGGATTGAGCTTCAAATTGATCAATTTTCTTGTTTGTCAAGCCAGGCTGGTATATGTTTGCGCACCCTCTTCCTCAGAAGTCGCGCTGTTTGGCCAAAAGTCAAAAACTTGCCACCTTAACCGCAGAAAAGAAAGACGTGTTCATAAGAATGCCTTCCTTAGGTTATGCAACAAGCGAGCTGGTCAGACGACGCCTGAAGACTGCGATCGCAAGCGCTTTCCCCTTCTACGATTGGAAGGCAAAGACCGATACCCATTGAAGGCCACATCCACGTGCTAGGCTTGTGCCTGAGATAGCCTGAAGGCGATCGATATAGGGATGCTGACGCCTCGGAAGACTAGACACAACCCTTAGCACCAACTTAAGCCAGACCAGCGCCACATTTCAGTGTGCGATAGACTGGCGACCGCAAATAGTGGGGCCGTCGGCACCTGGAAGGCAAGGCATCACTCTGAGTGCTGGCTCAAGCCAGCGCTGTAAGCGCATGCGGCAATATAGGTCACTTTATTTATTACAATCGACTTTAGGTATGCATGCAAGTAAATATTTAAACTCATACCTATGAACTGGAAAATCGGCATTCCAATAAGTATAATTCGGTGGAAGAAGTACTATGGGGAACGGTGGGTTATTGCGTGAACTTTCGAAACTGGCTCACCAGGTTATCATCAGACGGATGGAAATTGTACGAAACAGTGAATGCAAAATGATGGTTAACAGAAGCTTATATAGTGGGTCGGGGTATAACAGTTGATAACCGTCACCCACATGCGATTATGCGGTCAGTGGTGAAGAAAATAGCTGTCCCCCCGCATGTAATTATGCGGTCGATCGGGGACTAATCGTCGACCGCCTGTGGTGACTGGTTGGTGATTCCTCTAATGCGGGTAGACTGCCGTCTATTCCATGCTTGCCTGAGGTTGGTGTACATCGCGTCCAATTCGACGTGCCTGTTGATGCACGAGTTGTTGGAGTTGATGGCTTCTAAAAACTCGCGGCCTTTCTTGTATGAACAAGAGTCAACAATGCAAGTTCCGTCCCATGCAAATTGATGTCCAGTTTCTAATCTGTGCATGGCGACTTCAGAAAAGTGATATCACCCCTTTACCGCTCGGTGATGTTCGTGTAAGCGCGTGTATATTGATCTTCCTGTCTGTCCGCAATAGACTGCATCGCAGCCACCACAAGGGATCTACTAAATGACCTCTTTTCTGTCCAAATAGCCAACCCTATCCTTAGGGTTTACAAACCGATTTCGCAGAGTATTCGTCTGTTTGTGTGCTACTTGAATTGGATACTTCCTCAGGTGTCTTTCAAAGAGTTCAAACGCGTTCTAATATACGGAAGTGTTCGCCAACTTCTTGGATCGGGCGCCTGATCGGGACAACCT